GCAACACGCTCGTTTTTTCCGCGAAGCTCTAGCTCGATCAAGGGCGAAACGGCAAGGGGGTCCAACGGACCCCCCCCCCCCTCCTATACGTTCGCGGCTGGAAAAACACCAATACGGGCGAGGGTTAACCCGCGCACCGACTTCGACTCTGCGCCAACTTCGCACCGACGGGGGGGGGGGCGGATGACCGCCCCCCCCCCCTGAGATCTCAAGAACGAAGCAAGATAGCGACAAGCGGTAAACGGCATCGGATACGCACGGCCACGATCTACAATTTTTACTAAGGTCATTTTCAGGTCAGGTCAAAGATGACGTCACAGGGGTCGAAAAAGTCAAAATGGCGGCGCCAGAAATGGAGAGAGTTTTTCTCGAATAACTTTCGAATTAGTCAAGATAGGAACAAACAAAGGGCATCATCGTGATCCTCTCGTCAATCCGCATCGAATGATATATATATATATATATGTTGACCTCGAAAGGTCAAGGTCAAAGGTTGACCTCAGGTCACGTGACCTCGAGGTCATCATGTATATCATTCGATGCGTCTTGACGAGCTGAACACAATGAGACCATCCACGCGTCTGTATCTTGTTCCTGTACGGAGTTATTGGCCAAAAACCTTTGGTGACCTTTGATGACGTCACATGACCTCACAGCTGCCCAACAGCAAAACAGACCTCAAGGTAGTGAAGGTTGATCGTATATGAAGTCATGTATGGTATATGGGGCCATTCCGACCCGTTTTAGTGGTAAAAACAGGGAGTTGATTTTTCCCCCATTGACTTATAATGGGGAGGTCGCGAAATTGACCTGACCTTAGGTCATCGATATCAAATTTCCGAGATATACAAATTGTAGCTACTAATGACCTAATAACATCCTGCGACTTTCAAAGACCTCCGACATCTACTGTAGCTCTGGCACGGTGACAAAGTTGCAAAAAAGTGACTTGAGGTTGGGTCATTCAAAGTGACCTGGTGACCTGACCTTAACCCTCGCCCCGTTGGGGGGGGGGCATTTTGGCCCCCCCCTGTGGTTTTTCCTGAATAGCAAGTACCTTCCCGGGCATCAGTACCTTCAATTTTCAGTACCTTCCCGGGCATCAATTTGACACCTTCACACCAAATTTCAAGTCTTAGGTCACCTTAGGTCAGGAGTTATTGAGGTCAAACTGAGGTCATGTTCGAGCAAAAATGAGCAAAAAACATGCAATCTTGAAACGCTCACCAAATCTACAGTTATCAAGCAATTTCAAAGTTCTTTTTATGATCTAGTAGACAAAAAGCGGCGCTACAAAACTGCTATCTCGGATTTTCAAAATTTTTGGTTTTTGACCAAAAAAATTCAAAAATTGATTTTTTTAGAAAAACTTTGAAAAAATCCAAATTTTTTTCCGAATTTCGAAAAACCCGGAATATATGTTATAGTCCCAGCGCTCTTCTATATACATACCAAATTTCAGATCGATATCTCGTTTTTTGGCCAAGTTATAGCGAAAAAACTGTTCAAAAATGATGACGTCAAATTTTTTAACTCAATTTTTAGCAATTCTAGACCACGTACGGCAAAACAAAGACCACCATTGAACTCCCCGTGACGAGCTGCATCGATTCGATACCCATTTTATGCAAAAATATTAACTTTGAAATTTGACCTAATTTGACCTGACCTTGACCTGACCTTGACCTGACCTTGACCAAAACGTGATGTAAAATGGCCCCAAAGGCTGCCTGACCCATATAATCGCATTTGTCATGTAAAATGGACCATAAAACATGTATCACACGACACTTTCATATTGTGACCCCCCGTGACCTGACCTCTGTGACCTGACCTGGTATCAGTGACCTCAAATAGCAAAATATGTGTTTGAAGAACATTTCCCCATCGATGATTTTCAATGAAATGCATTTTACTCGATTTTACAACGCATTTCTTGAAGTGCCTGTAAACGGTGAAAATTGGACCTTTGACCTGACCTGTGACGTCATCGGTTTGACCTAGGTCAATAAAATTGGGTCACAAGGTAGTTCCCCGTTGGGGCTATCCAACGCCGTTTACCGCTTGTCGCTATGTTGCGTGGTTCTCGAGATCTTAGGGGGGGCCAAAATGCCCCCCCCCCCCAACCGGGCGCGTTGCTCGGCAGAGCCCAACGGGGCGCGGGTTAAAAGGTAGGAGGTTCAACCTTGCACACCATGTGTAAAATTGATGAGGTTATAGTCATACCAAATTTCGCGGCGCTACAAACCGCGGTTTTCCCGCTATTCGCGAAAAACCTCAGGGGGGGGGGCGGATATCCGCCCCCCCCGTCGGTGCGCGGGTTAAAGATCTACAACTTTTACATTAAACACTTTCGGGTCAGGTCAATATTGAGGTCACCAGAGATCATCAACAACGATAAAATGTTTTGGAATTAGTTACTTACATAACTTTTGAACTATGTAAGAAACATAAAGACATAAAATTACTTCATTTTTTGTTGCTCTCGTCGAGGCGATGCAAAATAACTATGCGATGACCTTCACAGGTCAATTTGAAAGGTCATGTTATTCAACAACGAGGTTGTGAGGCATGGTCATGCTGCATATCAAACCACGCGCCTTGACCAGGCGAACCGTTTGGTACCACTTATCTTCATTTACAAGTCTTTAGAACCATCATGTCGTGATTTATTGAAAAAAAAAACTATTTATGACGTCACATGACCTCAAATGACATTTCCCGGTGCCCCTGTCAATAAGCGACACCAGGATCATCACTGATGAGATAATCTACCATAATACTGAAAGAATTGGGTGGTTTTGACTTTTGACTCGTTTAACCCGCGCGGGGCTGGGGGGGGGGGTAAATTTTACCCCCCCTCGCGAATTTTTGCGATATCTCAAAAACGGCGGCGCGCAGCGCCGCCAAACTTTCAGTACCTTTTCTTACATCAATTTGACACGTTCCCTGAAAATTTGAGCGAAATCCGTCAGAAATTTTTGAGAAATTGACGTTTTAGTGACGTCATGTTCGCCATTTTCGCCTCAAAAACGGCAAAAGTTCAAACGCCGCTAACATCTTCATTTTTAAAGGAATCAAGACGTAACAAAAAAGGTTATACGTAATTTTACTTTGTCTATCAAATGGCTATCTCGGTTTTTTGAAAATTTTGGATTTTGGCCCAAATTTTTTTCAAAAAACTGACTTTTTTGGGAAAATCATTATAAAATCCAAAATTTTAAGTCTATCGAAAAAACCGGAATATATGTCAGAGAAGTGGTCTATGTGCACCTACATACCAAATTTTAGAAGAATCGGTTCAAAAATGTGGGAGTTATTCAAAATTTTATGACGTCACGACACACAAAATTTTTGAAAAATGACTTTTTTGGAAGTTCTAGACCTCGTACGGAAACAAAAATAGCACCATTCCATTCGCCGTGAAAAACTGCATCAGATAGACACCTTTTTAGGCCTTAACAACCAACTTCAAAATTTGACCTCACTTGACCTGACCTTGACCTGACCTCGACCTGAAATTCATCCAGAGGTGGTCCATATCACTTATTGAGTGTGCCTATTGAATTCTATGAGTAAAATGACCCATAAAACATGTGTCGCACATGCCCTTTTCAATATTTTGTTTTTTGGTGACCTGACCTGACCTGACCTGACCTTGACCTTGACCTCTGAATGATATTGTATGCAACGAATATTGTCTTGGTAGCCTAAGAACACGTTTTTGGCGATCAGTCTCAGTCCATGACTCCATTCTTCGGCAACTACGGTGCAAGGCCGATACTGTAGAAACTTGCAATTTGTACCCTTGACCTGACCTTGACCTTGACCTCAAACTTTAAATTAAGTACATGTTTTTAGTAGTTCGTGATGAGAGCTTTCGATTGGCGTTTGAATTTTCCAAATCGGACCATTAGTTCGGGAGATAACAGGGGGGGGGGTAAAATTTACCCCCCCCCCAGCCCCGCGCGTTCGGCTGGAGACCCCAGCCCCGCGCGGGTTAAACGAAGCAGGAGGCATTCGAATATTTTCCCATAGGCTTGCAATGTAAAGGTCAGGAGTCTGGCCTGACCTCAGGTCACAGATATAAAAATTATGAGATCTACAAATTACACATATTTGTAATTTGTAGATCTCATAATTTGTAGATCTCCTACCCTAACTAAAACCTGAACGGAAGAAATTGATCAGTCAAAAACTCTAGCTCTGGCGTGACTGCATACTTTTCTGAGGTGGGGTCAACAAACCGCATCTGGTGACCTGACCTGACCTGACTCGGCAACTTTTTTTTTGTCAAAATGTGCGCAATGAATGTTTAGGAAAAGTCACCGAGTATGAGCTAACTCAGTCTTGCGGCGTTTGGGGGGCAAATCGACCCCTTCCCCCCTCCCAGAATAGGGCTAACGCACCGACGGGACGTATATCATGTCCAAACGCTGAACTCTCGACAAAATATCTACATACCTTTTTCTTCTGAGGTTTCATTGCTGAGTGAGATTCGCCGTTCTGACCCAGCCGATCAGCCGAGACCACACAGCTCGAATGCCAGACGGGTCTGTTTCGTACGTTCGCGCCACCTCCCCGGGATCACATTCGAGGCCTGAACGTGCCTGAGCAGCTCTGTGGTAATGGTCTCCCGCACCAAAACCTCACGGCCTCACACCTCCAACAGCAGGAGGTGTGACGTCACGCACTGCCAGGCTCTGATTGGCAGATAATGCCGAGGACACGTAAGAAATCGGCATTAATTCAGGCAACACGTGATGGGCATAAAGTTCGAGCATATGGTAATAAATAGTTATTTGTTATTTATGTCATTCATCAACCATCATTGTTATTTATTACACTTTGATACAGACGTGACCAGCTATTGATAAACCTGCACCGCCTGGGCTCTCGGATTTCCAGGCCCTGCTGGGTGTGGGGTTTGGACACCCCTCCTAGCTCGGCTTCTGGGTCACGCAGCGACATACGGTGGGCGACGTTCGAAAGCCAACGTCAAAAGTTATGTCGATCTTTATTTAGTAGTTCCTATATAAATAACGTTATAACATGAAAATTACACAGCTTGCCATGTAGCATTACATCATAATTGCTACTGGGCAAATAATTCACACGATATAGGCGGCCGAACGGGGAGGGCACCGGGGCACCGTGCCCCCTTTGATTTAGGCATTTTATTATTAGGCCTATGGGCGTTGCATGGAATGAATGGGACCAAAAGTCGGCAGTATCCCCCCCCCCTTAATTTAAGGTGTTCAGCCGCTACTGTCACACGACTGCAATCAGTACAAACAAAACATAAATAACAATCCGCCCGCGATTCTCAGACGACAACAGAGCAAACCCCTAAACTCGAGGACAATGTACGCAGGATGTAAAGTTGATAAACACAGATGCATGCACAGAGTTTGATATCGGTATGTCGAACTCTCAGGTCAAAGGTCGTCGTCGTCGTCGTCAACGTTGAACGCCGCGTTGTCGACGCCGGTCTCGGGCGACGCCGCCAGCTTCTCCCGGGCGGCGATATTCTGTGAGTGTTCGTACCAGGCCTCGGTAGGGCGGCCAGAGTTCCTCAGACGCTGCGGGGAAGGTCGGCGGTCAAACAGATTACAGTCTTTGATGGGGCGCACGTCACAGGATGATGACGAGCTATTCGAGGGGCGGCCTCATGCTGTGGACTGGTCGCCTGACGGGACTGTGGGAACTGTAGTTCTCCATCAGCCTTCCGAGGTGGCGCTGGCAGCTATGTACAGTCACCAGCAGTTGCTACCCATCACCCCCGGACGGCGGGGGAGCAAGCTACCACCGCCCCTGCGAGACTAGCGCCGCCATGCGCCAAGAAGTGGAAACACCACGTGACTGAGGCCACGTGAGGGCAGGGTCACGTGATGGAGGGGCGGAGCATAGTAGCTTTTGCGCCCGACACTAACTGAAATGCGGCGCTGTGATTGAGCGCCTTAGCATGACTGAAGCCTCGGCGCCAGAATCAGCCGTTCGCCTTATATGGAAAGTGAGCCTTTACGTTTCACTGTTCTGTATTGGTTTGAGAGCCACGGCACCATACGAATTGTGAGCCCCTTTGAACGGGTCACCGCCCGAGGCACTGAGGCGACGGCCGTGCCGGGCAAAGTCTAGCCTGGTGGGAGAGGTGGGCCGGGGAAAGTGCGATCGATCATCGAGCAGCCACTGGGACGTGGATTGGTATTATCCAACCGCGACAAACGATGTCAGCAGCCTCTTCTCGTGTCATAGACAGTGTCTATGACACGAAAAGCTAGACAGACAACGTGGGCAGTGCCCAATCAAAAGCTACTCAAAACGATCCAGTTAAGAAGTTGGCGAGGTAGCCAGACCAAATACAAAGTTTTTAATTCGATTTTGGTTGACAAATGGCATACAAGCCCGCTGTGATGGACCAAAAAAGGAGCTGAACAGTTCATACAACTTCTAAAAAGCTCAACGGTTTAAAAATTCAAAAGTTAAATGTTAAAATTCAGCCTGCATGTTCAAACTCTGGTCCGGCGCTGGCAGGAAGCTTATATTGCCACTTGCAATTCCATTGCGTTGTAATATGCCTAACCAAGAGTTCTGTGAGAGCAGCAACTGAAAGCCCCGTTGAGGGGGGAGGGCGGCGCGAAACGGCCCCCTCTCTCCTTTTCAGTCGATATCTCCTAAAGTATATCAAATGTCGCCACCAAACTTTCAAGACCCCTCCGGGCATCATTTTTACACTTGTGACCAAATTTTTCCAGATCTCTTATGAAAGGTTAGTCACAAATGACGCCAGAGGGATGTCATGTTCTGTCATTTTCGACCCAATAAAAGGTTTAGCGGGAAGAGCTGTCACGCTTACAGTTTTGAAGATAACGAAACATATTTAAGATCAAAAAGATGTAAAATAAACAGCGCTACCAAACTGCTAACTCTTATTTCCAAACAAAAATTGATTTTGACCGTCAAAACTATAGAAGTAAACACCCCGAAAATACCAACAACTTTCAAAATTAACCCTCGCATGTGTAGGGGGGGGGGGGTCGGATGGACCCCCCCCATGGTTTTTCGCGAATAACTCGCGTAAAAAGCGGCCGATCGCGACGAAACTTTCAGTACCCTCGCATTGATCAATTTTACACCTACCCTGAAAATTGCATGACCCTGACCCAAATGACCTTTGACCTGTGACCTCTTTTCCGAGACCATGTTTGGCCGGAATCGCGATTTCGCGTATGTCGGCTCGCACTAGCCGCGTGTTTGCAAGCTTTTCGTGGTTTCAAACGTTCAAACATGTGATTTGATGTTACTCCCGTGTGTGTCAAGGTCACCTGAAGGTCAGGTCAGGTCATTGACCTTTGGTGACCTCGGGTGACCTCGGGTCACTTTTTCGAGTTTTACATGTTTCTAGGCTAGTTTTTGGAGCTGAATTCGAATTTAGCAACCATTTGAACATTTACGAAGTAGTTTTGGTGACTTCGTAACATGTTACGAAGCTGTCAGAGGCGGTTGACACGTACTACGAATACCCGTCACGACGCCTACTGGTTGACCTGACCTGACCTGACCCGACCTGGTCTAAATGCTTCAAGATATCATCTGTGATCAAAACTAACACGATATTCGTGATCAGCACCCCGAAAAACCCCTTAGCAGCCACACTTTACGACTTTCTAACAGGTCCCGATTTTCCCGACTTTGGGTCATTGACCTGACCTGGAAGGTCAACCAATGACCTAGGACCTTAAAATTGGGTATCATCGGCTTCCTCTCGTCACGGGCAACACGCTCGTTTTTTCCGCGAAGCTCTAGCTCGATCAGGGGCCAAACGGCAAGGGGGGGTCCAACCGACCCCCCCCCCCCTACACATTAGAAGCTGGCAAACGCCGCACACATGCGAGGGTTAAAACTGAAATATATGTTATAGAACTATCTGCTCTAGATATGCCAAACTTAAACTCGATAGCTCTATTTTTAGCAAAGTTATGGCAAAAAAAAAACTTCTCAAAATTTATGACGTAACATTTTCAAATTCAATTTTTAGCCATCACAGAACACACAGAGCAAGCCAAAGACCACCGTTGGATTTCCTATGATGAGCTGCATCGAATAGATACCCCTTTTATGCAAAATATCAACTTCGAAATTTGATCTTCTTTGACCTGACCTTGACCTGACCTCCACCAGAATGTAATCTGAACTGGTTCTAATGACCCCTGTGGCAACCTCTTTAGGCAACATATGTATTAGACAACCAACGCTCCATCGATGTTTTTCGATAACATGCCTTTTATTTGATGTGTTAACTGACTGTAACGCATTCCTTAGACTAAATCGGTGAAAAAATGCAACCTTTGACCTGACTTGTGACGTCATGGGTTGCACCTAGGTCAACCAAACCTGGTAACAAGTAGTTCCCTGGTGGGGCTATGGAACGCTCTTTGAATGTTCAAAATCGGTCGATAACTTTCCGAGATCTCAGGTGGAAGGCGAAACGGCTGCACCATCCGATCAGGTGGTAGGGTCCGCCAATAGCCCAAGGGGGCGCGGATTATTTATTCACTCAAACAGTGTCATTTATTTTGAGAACACCTTTCTCAGGCCATGACATGGTCCTCCCGTAATAGAACGAGATGAGGAGAGTGTTTTTACGCCTCCTTATGCATGGCTCTAAATGTCATTGAGCTATCAACTGTCAGTGGTTTTCGGACAATGAAGTTCTTAGTTCTTACTGAATCCAATTTTATTTCAAACGATTGTCACTGTGCTAGTTTTCTTATACGTTTTTGAAAAAGCGCTGAAGAAGTCTTTGATAGACGAAACCGTTCCGCTTATTCTTTTTGAGAATGTTTGGTGTATTTTTTTTTTTACCCGAACGATGTGCAGCTGAATTTTCCCTCTTGAATGATTATGGACAGCTCGCGAAATTAACTTCAACCTAAACTACCGACAAGCAGAAGAAAATCCGATACAAGCTTCCTCAATCCTCTCACCTTATTCAACCGTTGAAACGTTAAAGGCATTAATTCAGTCCGAGTCGCTATGTCGACCACCTGCGCCGTGCTGGGGGGGGGGGCGTTTTTACGCCCTTCCCCCCTCAGGTTTTTCGCGAATATCTCAAAAACGGCGACGCGACGCGTAGCGTCATTCAAGGTCAGGTCACCAGGTAACGTCAAGTGACCTTACCTCGGAAAAAAAAATCGAAAGCTCGCTGTAGCTACACCGACTGAGCGATCACTTTAAAACTTTCATAATTGCTTAGGGTATGTATAAAATGGATACCTCGGATTTTTTATGTCTGTGACCTAAGATCAGGTAAATTTTGCGACTGCTCCATTAGGTATAAGTCAATGGGAGAAAATTGAAATGCGCCTCTTTTGGACGAATTTCGTTCTACACGCTCTCAAACATCGGTCCATAGGTGAACATGACACACTGAATCGGGAAATTGCACCTGTGACCCCTGTGTGTGCCCCTGAGGTCATTTTAGGACATAAAAGGTCTTCAGCAGTTTTTTGACTTTTGACAGAGACGTGCTAGAGCGGTGAAAACACCGTTAATCTGAGGTCAAATTTGAGGTCAATTAGAGCGGTGCCCTCTGGGGGCTAAACCGTTGATCTGAGGTCAAATTTGAGGACATGTTGGCGAAAGAGCGTTAAAAGAGCTATGCTTTTCCGCGGCGCTGTAGTTCTAATGGTTCCCGAGTTAGCCGTCGGGTGTTCAAAATCGTTGAAATCAACAAAATTTTACCTATGATGAACCCTGGTGACCTGACCTTTGCCCTGACCTTAAAATGACCGAGTGTTTTCCTCCTTATTTTTGACGCTCTTTCGATTGCCGCTTACCGCGTGTCGCTACGTGGCCCAGGAGCCGAATTAGACGGAGGGGCGTGAAACGCCCCCCCCCCCCAGCACTCGACGGAAATGTATATTGATAGAGACAAGTAGAAAAACACGGAACAAATAGTGCATGGACGCGTTTCGATTATTAAATCGAAAATCAAAGCTCGAATGCTCGAATGTTTGTGTGCTATATCTTGTTTTCTCTGTGATTATGTCATGCTGATGAAGATTTAACCCGCGCGGGGCTGGGGGGGGGTAAATTTTACCCCCCCTCGCGAATTTTTGCGATATCTCAAAAACGGCGGCGTGCAGCGCCGCCAAACTTTCAGTACCTTTTCTTACATCAATTAGACACGTTCCCTGAAAATTTGAGCGAAATCCGTCGGAAAATTTTTGAGAAATTGACGTTTTAGTGACGTCATGTTCGCCATTTTCGCTTCAAAAACGGCAAAAGTTCAAACGCCGCTAACATCTTCATTTTTAAAGGAATCAAAACGTAACAAAAAGGTTATACGTAATTTTACTTTGTCTATCAAATGGCTATCTCGGTTTTTTGAAAATTTTGGATTTTAGCCTAATTTTTTTCAAAAAACTGACTTTTTTGGGAAAATCATTATAAAATCCAAAATTTTGAGTCTATCGAAAAAACCGGAATATATGTCAGAGAAGTGGCCTATGTGCACCTACATACCAAATTTTAGAAGAATCGGTTCAAAAATGTGGGAGTTATTCAAAATTTTATGACGTCACGACACACAAATTTTTTGAAAAATGACTTTTTTGGAAGTTCTAGACCTTGTACGGAAACAAAAATAGCACCATTCGATTCGCCGTGAAAAACTGCATCAGATAGACACCTTTTTAGGCCTTAACAACCAACTTCAAAATTTGACCTCACTTGACCTGACCTTGACCTGACCTCGACCTGAAATTCATCCAGAGGTGGTCCATATCACTTATTGAGTGTGCCTATTGAATTCTATGAGTAAAATGACCCATAAAACATGTGTCGCACATGCCCTTTTCTATATTTTGTTTTTTGGTGACCTGACCTGACCTGACCTGACCTTGACCTTGACCTCTGAATGATATTGTATGCAACGAATATTGTCTTGGTAGCCTAAGAACACGTTTTGGGCGATCAGTCTCACTCCATGACTCCATTCTTCGGTAACTACGGTGCAAGGCCGATACTGTAGAAACTTGCAATTTGTACCCTTGACCTGACCTTGACCTTGACCTCAAACTTTAAATTAAGTACATGTTTTTAGTAGTTCGTGATGAGAGCTTTCGATTGGCGTTTGAATTTTCCAAATCGGACCATTAGTTCGGGAGATAACAGGGGGGGTAAAATTTACCCCCCCCAGCCCCGCGCGTTCGGCTGGAGACCCCAGCCCCGCGCGGGTTAATAATCGAAACCCGTCCATGCAGATGCACTATTTGTTCCGTGTTTTTCTACTCGACGGAAAGTGTATGCCACCAACACGGCGCGGGTCAATTGTTATGTTAGCTAGCTCCTGTTGTAAGCTGTGGAGTCGTGGACCTGATCTTGAAGGAACTGGGCCTAACATTTTCATAGCAAACGTAAAAAATGTTTAATAGGTTGTGCAAAAAATAGCATCTCTTTTATGAAACATTTGCGAAACCTTCAACATCATCCCCAGACCCCATTAGTGCCGAGCTCCCAGCGACGACCATAAGAACGTCCCCATCCCGTCATAGGCGGTGGAACGGGGAGGGCACCGGGGCACCGTGCCCCCCTTTGATTTTGGCATTTCAACATTAGCCCTATGAGCGTTGCATGGAAATAATAGGACCGAAAGTCGGCAGTTCCCCCCCCCCCCCCTCCCCTTAATTGAAGGTGTTCCGCCGCTACTGCATCCCGTCAACGTGGGTTTATCATTAGGATGCTAAGATTTCATTTCCAATCCGAAGCTGTAATGATGGAAAGCAAATTTACATTTTACATGTGAAACAAGCTGACACAACTAAATATTTCCTCTCTCGCTCCCTCTCACTGATTTACCCATTGCCCTCTTTCTCATTACTCGCTCTCTCTCTCTCTCTCTCTCTCTCTCTCTCTCTCTCTCTCCCCTTCTCTCTCTCTCCCCCTTTCTCTCTCTCTCCCTTTCTCTCTCTCTCCCTTTCTCTCTCTCCTCTCCCTCTCTCTATCTTTCCTCACAATATTCTCGACTGTCACAGCGTTGTAGGGCTTATTTTCAGACAGGTCCAGGCGCTCCCCACTCCGCAGGCCCCAGCCCACACGGCCCAACCGCTCAAACACCCTCCGGCGGATGACCTCTGACCTCGGCGACCTGACCCTAGCCGACCGATCGCGTCCCTCTCCACGCCTCCGCCCCGCTTCCCCCACTACAGCTGCGTAGTAATTGTAGCGTGTGCAAAGGTCACGTGACATTATTTACTTCTGCGGCTTGTTCGGCTGACAAGAGATGGCACTAGTGGTCTGTGGATCAGAGGCGGGGCTAGGTTCTACGACTTCTTGGGGCACACTTCAGGGCAGAAAAGAGGTTTTTTGGCTCCCCATTCCAAAATGCTTCGAATATGCACAAACAAGTTAGATATTCGAAAATCGGAGGACCAAACGGATCGTTTGACGTATCTTGCGCGACTGAGAATTGATCGGTCTTCAAACTACTGAACAAAAACGAGGTGATTAGTAGCAAGTGCTGGTGACTGTACTTACTTAATTGCTGTCAAGTGCGGCTGTGGAAGCCCGGTTGCTTGTGTCAATAAGAGGTATGATATTCAAAGGTCGTTGTTGTAGTGTCGCAAATTTGCTTCTATGCACGTACAAGTACATATATCGGCAATAGTAACATTCGTGACCGGGCGAGGTTCCAGCCTAAGTAACGATGTCGGGAAGCTCAGCGTTCATCACACCCCAGCACGACCCAGCAGCCGCAGCTCACCTCTCTGAAGTCGCCAGTCTGCTCGCAGGCGATGTTGTAGATAAAGCCGCCAGGAACCACGGCGATGATGAACATGGCGATGGCCCAGCCGATGCCGTTGGCGTAGGGAGGGTAGACGTAGCCGTCCACCTCGTACGGTTCGTAGTTGATCCAGCCGAGCAGCAGAATCAGCTGCCAAACGAAGGGTGTCAGTAGGAATAAACTTCGGTAAAGACGGCTGAGTGTAAGTCTGGGAGAAAAGGGAGAAAGAGCAAACATTATGGTGTTACGTGTCCGAGACTCCAAGCACCTTTGATGCGACTACATATGGGAGCTATAACCGGCTTATTGTTATCACGCCTTGCGCTTGTTCACGAAGTCCAGATCGAGCGTCGTTTTCTTCTACTTCAAACAAGATATCAAATATTGTGGTGAGGCCAATAAACAATTAAGAATTAACATCTCCCACAATTCGAAGAGCTCCCTGCATTCTGCATGCGCCACGGCATCTCGTCACATAAACTGCGTACGTTCCCAACTCCTTCAAAACGCCACCCTTGTCCAGGTCCGATTGTCCAGCCACACTCACTGCCACCAGGAGAGGAGACACGGTGCCGTAAATGGTCGTGATGTGCGCCTTCAGCCGGAAGCCCGGGTTGAAGCCCACCAGTGAGGCCAGGTCGCGGTAGTAGTTGGTGATGCCGTACAGCCAGTACATGCCTAGCAGCTCTGTCAGGCCGATGAAGAGGTACGGCCAGCCCGCAGCGTAGTTGTCCATCAGGTCCACGACGTAGCGGCCGCCCTGGAAATGGTTCAGTCGTAGTGAGCTGGACTCCATGCTATCTCCAATTAAAGGCATTGGAAGGTCAAAAGTAATAATTTTCCCGAAGAGTTCAGATTAAAAAGTTATCGTTAAACGTTCTGGAGAACCTAAAGCAATTACCTCAGTTGTGAGCGGTATGCCAAGTAGAAAAAGCGTTACACAGATTCCTACGACCACCCAGGGCTTCCACTGGCGCAGCTTCGGAAACTCGTCCAGGATGCAGGTGATGATGTTCTCCACGATGGCGAACTGGGAGTCGAGTCCGAGGGTGAAGAGCATCAGGAAGAAGAGCAGCGCCCAGAGAGTGGAGACGGGGAGACGAGTCACTAGCTCTGGGTAGGCCACGAATGCCAGGCCTGCGACATGTAAAAAGTGAATCCGTTAGCTTCGAGCGATCAAAACCGGATCCTCCATGAACGACGCTAGAAGTTCCCTGAATAAGTGCTGGCATCTGATCATACCAGTCATTTGCAATAGGGCAATAAATGCTGGTGGCGAATGAAGCGTAACATATGACAAAGCGGTTCCCACCTGATCCACTTTTGACGACTTCAGATACGGGAACTTCCAGCTCTTTAGCCATGAAGCCCAGGACGGAGAAGATGGCGAAACCAGCAAACACGGAGGTACAGCAGTTGCCGAAGCAGACAATTAAGGTGTCCCTGGAACAGGCAGGCATTCAGAGCTGTATGTGCGATGCGGAGCATTGAAAAAAAAGTGAAGCATCGCATCACAAACATCTCCTAAGATCTGTCACCGCATGTAGAGTAAGTTGTAAGTACCTGATGACGTTGTTGTGGTACTTGTTGTAGCTGGCAAGGGTGACCAAGCCTCCGCTGGCGATTCCTAATGAGTAGAAGATCTGGACGGCAGCCTGCACCCAGACGTTGATGTCACTGAGTCGGTCCAGGTCTGGGACGATGTAGAACTTGATGCCCTCGGAGGCACCGGGCAACGTTACGCCGCGGATCAGCAAGATGATGAGGATGACGAACGGGAAGAGCGCCGTAAAATACACCACCTGCCGCCAGTAGATGCCTCGAGTAAGAACAGGTGAAACAGACGGGACATACGTCGAAGACACTGGCGGATCCAGGGGGGGCCACGGGGGCCATGCCCCCCCCCCCCAAAGGCCTAAAGTGGCCTGTTTGCCCCCCCCCCAAAAACGCCAGAAAAATTGCTAAGAAAATATACCTTGATGGAGGCTTTTAGCCACTTGGTGAAGTAAAGCTTTCCACGGCATAATATGGAAGCAATATAGTAGCAGTGAGGGTCAGTCAAAAGTTGCGCGAGCGGAGTCGACCTTAAAAAAAAAGACTGTTGTTGGCACGTGTTTATGGCGCGGCAGCTGGTAGTTGGCGGTGTTTCGCGTGGTGTGGCATCACTGGCGGATCTGGGGGGGAGGGGGGGGGGCACGGGAGCCTGAGGTGCCCCTGACAGGCCCGTGGTGCCCTTGCTAGGCCTGTGGTGCCCCTGGACCCTGGCAGGCCTGTGGTACAGTCCACAGCAGAAGTAATGTAGGGTTTCAGTCATGGGTATGTTCTGCTTCTGAAGCTTAGGAACGATTAGCCAGACTACGATGAAACTTTGAATGTAGCTTATATGTATCGTCACCCTTGAGCTGCAACTTTAGCTATTGACATCTTCTTTTCAATCACTTCGCATTAAACAATCGCCAGTCAAAGCCAACCGTTGAGTTTGGTAAAACCCTACATTACTTTAGCGGTGGGCTGTACCTCTGGCAGGCCTAGGGTGCCACTGCTAGGCTGCTGATGCCCCTGGGACCTGACAGGACTGTGGTGCCCCTGACAAGCCTAAAGTGCCCCCAACAGGCCCGTGATGCCCCCGACAGGCCCAAGGTGCCCCTGCGTGATGCCGTGATGCCTGCGAGGCCGGTGGGGCCCCTGACAGGCCCATGGTGCCCCTGCTAGACCGGTGGTGCCCCTGGCAGGCCTGTGGTGCCCCTGCTAGGCCGCTGGTGCCCCTGGGCCCTGACAGGACTGTGGTGCCCCTGACAGGCCCAAGGTGCCCCTGCAAGGCCGGTGGTGCCCCTGTAAGGCCTGTGGTACCCCTGCTAGGCCTCTGGTGTCCCTGACAGGCCCATGGTGCCCCTGCGAGGCCGGCGGCGCCCCTGGCAGGTCTCTGGTGTCCCTGACAGACCTGGGGTGCCCCTGACAAGCCTGTGGGGCCCCTCACAGGCCCGTGGTGCCCTTGCTAGGCCTGTGGTGCCCCTGGCGGGCTGGTGGTGCCCCTACTAGGCCGGTGGTGCCCCTGACAGGCCTGTGGTGCCCCCGGGCACCAAGGGGGTCATGACCCATGTGGCCCCCCTTGGATCTGCCACTGATGCATAATATATTGATTTGTAAAGGCGTTATGGCTTATGCAATATGCAATTGCAGGCACTTGGTATCCCTCACTTATCCCTCATTGGGGCTCTGGCGGGCTCCTGAGGGCCCGCGTCTATCTCTGGGAGCCCATATAGACAGGCTCCTTTGGGTCCTTTCAGTACACTATAGCATAAGAGGTCTCCATGCGAGTCCTATACATACATCTGAGGGCGTACCCTGATGTCTGAGGTACCCAACTGCAGCTCCAATGGTCTCTTCTTACACTGGCGGATCCAGGGAGGGGGCATTTAGGGCCATGCCCCCTTCCCAGAGGCCTAAAGTGGCCCGTTTTCCCCCTCCCCCAAACGATAATGAAACATAGTTCAATCAGGGCGTGGTCCAGGAGCCGAGTTAGACAGGGCTGTTTTACCACCTCCCGGCCCGCAAAGGGACCCAAGCACTGACTCGAAGCGGGTTAAAGGAAAAGGGCCACCTTCGTGAAATATGAAGATATCGTTGTTTTTCATTTTGACATTATTATTTTTCATTTTCTTTTTAAAACTGGTGCCAGAAGTGCACAATTCGCGAAAAAGTATTTAAAACTATTTACCATATTGGTACTATGTTGATACTCTCTACGGCACCTACTGTATGATGGCATAGCGATGACGTCACACTCAAGCCAATCAGCGTTCAGAAGACAGACTCGTCGGATTGTGTCAGATAAGCTGATTGGTTAAAGCTGAGCTGGTTGGAGCTGATTGGTAAAAAACCAAAGCCTCGCCGCGGGTGGCTGTATTGTCGGATAAGAACGCATTCCTGGGATAAGGACGCATTCCTGGCGTATTTTCTTTTAAAATTGCCGATAACTACGAATGGAGGCCGAAATCGGCCGTAAGGAGGTATACAGATAGGTTTTCGGACACGGGCTACAAGATGGCTATCTCAGTTTCAATCCCGATGTTAAAGGTGGCCCTTTTCCTTTAAAGAGACCCTCCCACCTTCAAAAAAGTTAATGAATTGGCATGAAAGTGATGTCGCTAGGTTCAGAAAGGGCGAAAACGAATATCTACCAAATTTTATCGAAAAATATTCACCGGTTTTCAAGAGATTAGACTTTTATTTTTGTTTACTTTTTGGGATATCCGCTGCTGTTCCTAGCGACTTTATTTGAAAGTGCGGCATTTGTTGCGCGCAAAGCAGCCTATACCACCGCATGCTACCAAACGTTTTAGTAAAATATTAAAAAATCATTAGATCTCCGCTGACGTCACACATTCAGAGGGGTATCCAAAAGCATTAGCCCCTCTGAATCAAAATGCTGCAATTTTGAAATTCAATATTTCCGATTTAAGGCATTTCTCGATGTTGTGAGTGCGTGCCGAAACCGGTAATTGTGAGCCAGGGACCCCATTTTGGCTATCTCAGCTCAAATCTAATGTTAAGGTGGGAGGGTCCCTTCAACTGGTCGATAAAAACAATGGTAAGTGTTTACAAAGTAATATAAAGGCATGGGTCGGGTGGGCTACCATTTATATATTTTTCTTTTTAGTTAAAAAAAAAATTCATAGTGTCAGGGCTGTGACGAAAAATAAGTGGCCTAAATCCGATGAGAAAACAGGATTTGGGGGTACCCTAGGTTTGGCTCCTGCATGAGTTGCCCCCCCCCCCCCAAAAAACGCAAGCCTGGATCCGCCAGTGGTCGAAGACGCGTTGCATCACTGTCCCCGTTTAATGGTTGAATGACGTTGGCTGCGACGAACTTCGGAAGTGGCATTGCTATTTCTCATGAAAGGTCAATCCGACAGCCACAGTAGTTAAAGCAACACACAACAACAAGGCAGCTCAGTCATTCGTTCGAAAGCAGCATCAGTTAGAAATAAACATCAGATCATTTTTACCACGAAAAGCATTACTAATTGGCTACTGTAACAGGTATTCACTCTTCCTCAACGAAAGCGTCGAAGAAAAAGATGTACCTACGTCTTTGTTAGGTTATCTCCTGCGTATATTTTGGTGGTATCCTAGTACTTTGCATATCGCACCTTTCCGGACGACTTGATGCCTTTGATGAGAGCTCCGCCAACGACCAGCCAGGCGAACAGCAGTGAGAGGACGAGGCGGGGCTGCACCGATCCCAGCTCGTCGATCCCGGAGCTCAGGCTGAGTACGTGGTTGTTGTAGTACTCCTCCGCGGCTAAGAAATAGGGCAAACAGTTATTCGAGAGCTGTAGGTTCTTACCAGTGTCATCAAAGTTAATGCATATAAGTCATTGTGTCATGCAATGACACATGTGGGAGACGCTATGGCATGTAACGTTATTTATGGATGGTAATACACTGCTCTGTAAAAATATTGCAATACTTATGACTGCACGAGTGCACCTGATGCACCTGATTTGTTTTTAATTAAGGCTTTGTCTGTGAATACATGTCGATATAATTTAGTAACAGTGCTATGCAGAATGTATGCAAATTGCTTTTCCCAGATGCTTAAAGAGACCCTCCCACCTTCAAAAAAGTTTATGAATTGGCATGAAAGTGATGTCGCTCGGTTCAGAAAGAGCGAAGACGAATATCTACCAAATTTCACCGAAAAATATTCACCGGTTTTCAAGATGTTAGACTTTTACTTTTGTTTACTTTTTGGAATCTCCGCTGTTCCTAGCGACTTTATTTGGAAGCAATAGTTTGGCAGCTGAAAGTGCGGCACTTAGGTATTGCGCGCAAAGCAGCATATACCACCGCGTGCTATCAAAACGTTTTAGTCAAACATTTAGAAATCGTTAGATATCTGCGCTGACGTCACACATTCAGAGGGGTATTCCTATGCATTAGCCCCTCTGAATCAAAATGCTGCAATTTTGAAATTCAATATTTCCGATTTAAGGCATTTCTCGATGTTGTGAGTGCCGAAACCGGTAATTGTGAGCCAGGGACCCCATTTTGGCTATCTCAACTCAAATCTAATGTTAAGGTGGGAGGGTCCCTTTAATATCAGATGCAGCATATACCGGGTGGCCCAGAAAAAACGTTCCGAACTTTGGAGGCCTATATATCAAATTCGAGTACAAATAACGAGCCAAAATTTTCATCAAGCTTGCGTCATTTCTTTGCGCATTTGTATGCCAAATTATAACAGTATACCATCATTTTCAAGCTGGCAATCTTGAGTTGAATTAGGCAAGACGTTTTTGCTTTTTTTGCCGATGTCAAACGATAGTGATGATTGGGTTAGACGTCCCATGTTATAAAAAGAATAAAAGATAGAGCACGTGAATGAAACCAACATGTATGTTCTTATTTTAAATATTTTTGTCTCACTTATGTGCCAAATATTCAAATACTGAGCCAAAATGGTGCTCATGGATGCCATTCGTTTCAACACCAAATCATGTTTCGAGCAGGAGTGGCACGGTGCATGGATTACTGCTGATTACCCTCCTTTCAGTAGATCAAACAGTAAATCGACCGGATAAGGAAAACAAACTAAAGCAGACTGGTTCCTGTGCCAGAAGACCACAGAATAGCTTATGAAAAACAACATTGCCAGCAGATGACAAAAAAAAACTGGTTGAAAAGCTACCTTTTCCCAGGAATGTCAGCCAGGAAAGTATTTGAGCTACAAGATGGTTAGAAAACTGGAAACTTCTTCCGATGCCACTGGCACAGAGCCATCGTGGTTGCCTGAGGGAATGTGTCATCCTGAGACCCGAACCATCAATGAGACTAGCTGCCAGTAGAAGTCATGGCTCTAGGCCACGGTGCCGCGGGGTGAAAGTGACCCGTTCACTCACATTCTTTAGTAAACATCGGAGCAAAAAAGTAATTTTTACATGGCATGATTGAGACGCGAACCGTTTAAAAAGCAATTTACTGAACACCATGAAAATCATACCATTTACTGAAAATGTATGCCGCATTGAATATGCGAAGTTTCAATGTTGTATCGTTTTCACTTTCTGAGAAATATTGATTTAAAGTTGGGAACGTTTTTTCTGGGCCACCCGGTATACCTACGCCTGTAATAGCATTATGTATGTATGGCGATTCGGGGTAGTGCGAAGTTTGTTTTTTACCAATCTGCTTTCCTTTTATTTAGATGGCACGCTGCCGAAGCCGTGATGGAATTTTACCAGCCTGACAATGCGTTTTCAGAAGGAAATGGCAATGATATACAGACCTCTTCATATCATGTGGCAAGCTATAAACCATGATTTTACAGCGATTGATATCAGTCATGCGCCATCACTTTCTCAGTTCGCTGTCCCAAAGCCAGTATTTACGACCGCTAACGACCTTGCTAAGCCCACCGGGTCTGAAGGTGGGACCATATAATGATAAGATTTCCTCGTCAGGCGCAGCGGCCGTGCCGATTGAGCTGACCTCAGCGGGTGAGAGGGTGAGAGCTCACGTGACTCCCTCAGCCCAAAACTCACGTGAGACGCGGTCCTTTTCCGGCACGGTGCTGTTGACTCCCAGGATGTCGGCCTCTGTGCGGTTGGTGATGCAGTGACCATAGTTGTAGATCCACCACGTCGACTCGTTGTATATCGCCTTGCAGTGCTCGTAATCGTCAAAATTGAAGCAGTCTGTAGGTGAAATGCTGAATAAAATGCATGTCTACACACCCTTTTTTAGTACATTTTGACATGCGTAAATGTTTAGCAAAGACATTACTGTTAGATATCTCAAATGCTAGCGGGCATCACGCTTTACAGCAGGATATCATGTGACCAGGCCAGCAAAGGAAACTGTTTCAACTTTCTCCTGTTGAGCAGTTATAAAAACGTTGAAAAAAGGGAATCGATATCGTCTTTCATCCAGCGAGATATCAAGTGATGCGATGGTTTCAATGGACACGTGTTGCCCGCCGACAGTGTGCATTCGCTGAATAGTGAACGCACTGAAGTCGGAGCGGTAGTTCCCTGGTCTTAGGAGCGAATATCGTTCGGGGACTCACTGGGCGTGTTGTAGTCGTGGTTGCAGTACTGCCAGGGCAGATCGGCCGTCATGCTGGAGTACGTGTAGTACACCGTCCACGCGATGATCATGTTGTAGTAAAGGCCGACCACCACGGAGGACAGGAACATGGCGATGCCCACACCTGTCGCAGATGGTGATTGCGTTGAAGCTTACAAGCTACAGTTGCGGCTCACTTGATACCTAATCACCGCTTAACCCGCGACCGCCTGGGGGGGGGGTCGGATCCGACCCCCCCTCCGTTTTTCTTGAATAACTCATGAACCACTTTGGCTATCTACTTGAAACTTGGCATACCTTCTCCCCCATTAATTTGACGTCTCCTGTGCAATTTTTAAGAAAAAATTTCCAAAAAATTTTGAGATATATCGATTTTAGTGATGTAACTACATGGCGTTTTTAGTCAAAAAGTGGTAAATGTTTAAAAAATCGCCAAAAATCAGGGTTTGAAGCAAACTGCAAATTAAGGACATCAAAAGACGCAGCTTAACGAGTTCTTTAAAATGGCTATCTCGGATTTTCCATAAAATGCGTTTTTCACCCCTAAAAATTCAAAAAACTATATTTTTTGGAAAACAGCTAATAAAATCCAAAATTTTGGGAATTTCCAAAAAACCGGAATATATGTTGTAGAGCTCTATTAGAACATTAGATGCCCCAAATTTCAACTTTCTATCTTGATTTTTGACCCCCAAATTGTAAAAAATAGCTCCAACATGCATAGGGCATGGTGACGTCATAAGCATTTCCGTGAATTAGAGGCACTTCTGAACATCGCATGTGAAAACAAATGGCACCACTAGATTCCTGGGACAAAGCTCGTCTAGAAAAGTGCATTTTTATGTCAAAAAAAAGTTGAAAAATTGACCTTTTTTCTTAGCCCTTGTTTAGTTATGTATAGTATAAAAGATTTTTTATGCTTTCAATGCACACTTATCACCAGCACAGTGACTTGGGGTCACATATAACCATTACCATCGGATTCGGCGTGAAAAATAAGCCATAAAACATGTGTCGCACGCCCATGTTGCAGAAAGTGAAAACCGTGACCTTTCGTGACCTGACCTGACCTTGACCTGTACCTAGTATGACCCCTATACGCACATGGTACCTTCACTAGGCCTTTGAGGTCATTTTTGGTGAGTTTCGAGCAGCAGCTATCGATTCCGCTGTCCGTAAGCCGATTCATGCAAAACCCCTGAATTTGACCTTTGACCTGACCTTGACCCGAAAGTTGACCTCAATCTTAAAATCTTAAGAGTGCTTTGGGAAGGTCTCGTAGAGACCTTTCGAACGCCGCCTCGCGGGGCTCGATACGACCATTGGTTCTCGAGATAACAGGGGGGGGTCGGATCCGACCCCCCCCAGGCTGTCGTGGGTACGGAAATAGCCCAGGCGGTGCCGGGTTAACCCGCGCCCGGCTGGGGGTCCTGGATTTCCACGCCCTGCTGGGGGGGGGGTTTGAACACCCCCTTCTAACTCGGCTTCTGGGCCACGTAGCGAAACACGGAAGGCGGCGTTCGAAAGAGCGCCAAAAATAATGACGAAATCACTTCAGTCACTTTTTTGGTCAGGTCAAAGGTCAGGTCACCAGAGGTCATTGAAGGCAAAATTTCGCCGATTTTCAGGTCGAATGTCGACAATTTCCAGGAAGCCAACGCATAACTCGGGAACCAATAAAGCTACAGCGCCGCGGAAAAGCGCATTCGATAGCCCTATTAACGCCCTTTCTGAGTAATTCACTCAGATCTGACCTATCGTCAGCGGTTTTGCCTGCAGGGGGCAAAAACTGCAAAAATAGCCGATTTTTTCGGAAACAGTTTTTCTGCAATAACTTTTGACCCAAGCCTTGTACGAGCTTACTTTTACCGGCATCGTGTTCCTCTCGTCAAGACGCATCGAATGAACCATAACTTGACCTTGAAAGGTCAACTTGAAAATTTGATCTCAGGTCAAGGTCATGACCTGACCGGAAAGGGTCATGTTGCATATCAGTCGATCCGTATCGTCGAGCTGAACACATCTAAGGCGTTTTCATCGCTCTAGCATGCCTCTATCAAAAGTTATTTGCGAAAAACTGTTAGATACCATTCGTGACCTAAGATGACCTCAGGGCATAAACAGGGGTCACGGACACCAATTTCATGTTCAGTGTGTCTAAACCACTTGTAATTCAGTGTTTGGGAGTGTTTATAATGTCTTTCGTCCAAAAGAGGCGCATTTCAGTTTTCTCCCATTGACTTATAATGGGGAGGTCGCAAAATTGACCTGACCTTAGGTCACCGATATCAAAATTCCAAGATATACATTTGATAGATACTGTTACCCTTATCAATCGCTGAAAGATTCAAAGCGATCGGTCACTCGGTGTAGCTATGGCAGACATTGAAACTTTTTATGAGGTGAGGTCACTTCAAGTGACCTGGTGACCTGACCTTGAATGACCTTAGTCTGAAATTTTCACAACATGTGTAGAATTGATGTATGATAAGGTGTACCAAAAACGGCGGCGCTTCGCGCCGCCGTTTTTGAGATATTTGCAAAAAAAACACAAGGGGGGTGTTCAAACACCCCCCCCCCCAGCAGGGCGCGGGTTAAGAAAATAAGCTCATCGGACTTTTTGCTTTAGAAATATCGACAAAGATACCTCAAGGTGCATGCAAAACTCGTTAAAAAACGTCCGTCAGTTTTTTCGACAAAAATTCTTACCTCTTAGTGCCGGAGCGTAGTTTTTGAAGAGACTGACGGGTGCCATGGCGCTGTACTGTCCCAGTGTCAGATCCAGCAGGAACAGTGGGACACCGAGGCCCAGCAAGGACAGGGCATACGGTATGAGGAAGGCACCGCCGCCGTTCTTATAGCACAGGTACGGAAACCGCCACACATTTCCGAGACCTGTAACATCGAACGGCGCAGTCGGCGAACACGCATGGCGCTACACCAAGATACTATTATTGATATGCAGCTTTATTTGCTGTTGGCATCTGGCATTCGCTAGGCATGCATTCTTGCATCCGTTACAAATCCACCCCTGAGTTCCTCATAAAAGTGCGATCGGACTCCTGTCACCCGAAAAACATGGATCTTAGGATCTCACCGGGAGAATTTCATCTTTCTCAGAAATAAGTGTAGGGAATATTTAAAAAGTGCATTCCATTTCATAAACTTGAGAAGATTCCAACAACAAACATCGCTTCAATTAGTGTAAAGGCTTGAAACCATCTCAACACAGTCACTACCTAAGACAGGGCCACAAAATACTACCGCCAATCGGACACCACCGCCATCGCAGATCATATTCTCACCGACGGCATATCCGAGACAGGAGAGCAGAAAGTCGAGCTTGCCCGTCCAGTTGCCTCTCTCGGGGTTTTCGTCTCCTTCGTACAGGTTGTCGGCAGACGGCGATGTCTCGGCTGGCTGCTGTTCGTCGGCCTATCGATACAAATGGTTTTAAATTTGAAGCATGTCATCTATCTATTGATTAATTTGAGCGTGATGTACTTCTAAAGAACTTGAGATCTTTAATTTAATAAATTTAATTTAAAATTAATAAATTTTAAATAAATTTACATCTGTATTAGATAGATAGATAGATAGATAGTTTATTAAGACCCTCCATTGACATGGTTTTTATGGTGTCTACGTCAATGACAAATAAACAAACATTGTAAAAACACTTAGGCAAGACAGGTGCTACATAAAAAATGACACACTGGCATAAAACAGTGAATATAAAACACATGTGAGAACCGTGCCTATACCTACATGACAAGTGACAGCTGACTACCTGTGGCTGTTCCACGCACTCGCCGCACGATAAAGAAAACTTCGGCGGGCAAACTCGGTGCGGACCCGGGGCAGCTGCAGCCGGCCGTCGGACACGGCGCGGGTGCTGCGGGATGACACATCGGATCGCAGTGCGAACTGTTGGCGCAGACGTTCGGGAGTGATAGATGAGTCGATGATGCGAGTGACGTTTGCGAGGTCACGCTCGGCGATCAACTCGTCTACGGTGGGCCACCCCAGTTCCCGTAGCGCCGCAGTCACGTGATCGCGCCGTCTAAGACCGCTAACAATACGCGCACCAAAGTTAATAGCTTTCTGGATGCGACGCTTCTGTGTGACCGTACAGCTTCCCCACACACTTAAACAGTAACGTATGTGGGGAAATACTAGAGCTTCGATCAGCAGCTGTCTTGTGCATCTCGGTAGCTTATGCCGGATCCTGGCCAGGCACACCAGTACGCAAAAGCACTTACGAACAACACCCGTGATGTGTTCATCCCAAATCAGGTGAGAATCGATGACGACCCCCAGAACCCTGACACTGTGGTTTGGTTTGAGCTCATCGTTTCCAAAATGAATCGAGAATGTTGAGTCAAGATTTTGACGTCTAGATTTCATTATTATCAGTTCAGTTTTAGCTGGGTTAATTTTCAGACGATTTTGGGTGAACCATCTCAGTCCAAATGAGAGAGAAGTTTCGATGCGGTCCTTCAAGTTTTGCAAGTTTGTATAATAGTCAGTGTCAAGGAACTGGGTGTCGTCAGCGTACATGACTAATTTACCATGTGGAATGTGCTGAGGTAAATCATTGGTGAAAATCAAAAACAAAATCGGCCCCAAAATCGAACCCTGGATCACTCCATGAGACACGTTCATAGCAATTGATCCACCTCTCACACACTGTGTGCGTCCTCTCAGCCAGGCCGAGAACCATCCGGAGTCAATCCCGTACCAACCGAGTTTGTCCAGGAGACGGCCATGCTCAACGCTGTCAAAGGCCTTCGACGTATCAGCGGTGACAAGTGACGTCACGCGGCCGCTATCGATGTTCGTCACCGCGTACGTAACAGCATCGAGCAGGGCCGCCTCCGTGGACAAACCCGGCCGGAACCCGTACTGCTGGGGACACAGGATGTGGTGCTCGCTTAAATACGTCACTAGCTGGGAGCAAACAACTCTTTCACACAGCTTGGCGACAACAGGCAACACTGATATGGGTCTATAACCCTCGCCGGACCTATTGGTTTTCTACATACGCGCCGGCCGAGGGGGGGGGGCGGGTACGACCCCCCCCTCGCCGTTTCGCCCCTGGTGGAGCTAGCGCGTCGCGGAAAAAACGAGCGTGTGCGCCGTTACGAGACGCAGAGATTGGTACCCAATTTTAAGGTCCTAGGTCAACCGGTGACCTCTGAGGTCAGGTCAAGTGCCCCAAGGTACGGTTCAGTTTTTGGTGAATAACTTCGCAAAAAACGGTCGCAGAGCGCCGATTTTGGCAGCATCGTGTTCGTCTCGCTCAGGCGCGTCGAATGATATACTTTTTGTCCGGGTCAGGTCAACTTGGGGTGTTGACCTCAGGTCAAGGTCAGGTCAGCACCCCCAGGTCACGAAGTTGGTCGAAAGGGGTCATGTCGCATATCATTCGATTCGGCAGGTCTTCCTGAGTCCATTGGTGGCTTTCCCGACTCGCTAGCTCAATTTGATCAAGAGTTATTGACGAAAAACTAATATGACCTTGATGACGTCATAAATGACGTCACGCAAGGTCAACATTGCAAAAGTGACGCATCTAACCTTGCAAGGAGTGCATAAAATCACGATTCTGTGTGCTTGAGATAGTTGGAGATCGTTCCCGGCGCCAGAATAGCAGTTTTCATTTTTCCCCATTGACTTATAATGGTGAGGTCACGAAAATGACCTGACCTCATATGACCTTCAGGAAAAATCCGAGATATACAAGTTGTGGGACTCATAATGGATACTAGATCCTGCAAGTTTCATTTCCCTGTGACATCTCCTCTGGCAGTGAGGGCGTTGCGAAGTTGCGACATCTGAAAACCGTGCAGAGGTTCACTTATGACGTCATAGGTCAGTGACCTGACCTGACCCAAAAATGCGGTTGGTGTCAAAAGATCCGGCTTGGATCAAAGGTCAGGTATGCCAAGTTTCAGCTCTCTATCGCCAGCGTGTTCGGAGCTATCGCGAAAAAACCCTATGGGGGGGCGGCACCCGCCCCCCCCCCCCTCGGCCGGCGAGGGATAATTGTTTGGGTCGCTAATGTCACCCTTCTTGTGAAGCGCAGTCACAGTGGCGGCCTTCCATGACACAGGTACGTCACAACTAACAATAGAACTGTTGACTAGCGCCAGAAGCTTGGGGCCAATCACTGGGAACGTTTCACGCAACATGTGCACAGTGATGCCGTCTGATCCGCATGCCCGCGAGGATCCCAACCGCTGGAGCGCCGCAGAAAGCTCAGGGAGAGTGGCGGCCCGCGGTCTGAATGCACCCGAGCACACACGTGGCGGACGGGGTGTCAGTCTGTCCCCGGTGTCCTCCGCGGCCAGGGCGTCAGCCACGTCAGGGCCAACTGACGCGAAGAATCGGTTCAGTCGATCTGGCCACCCGTTGTCCGCAGCATTCAGGTCGGTAGTCCTCGGTTCGGCCTTCTTTGATGCAATCAAAAACTGTCTGATGCTCTTCCACGTTTTGGGTCGCGAGTTTCTGTACAGAGAGGCATAGTGGGAGGCGCAGGCTCGATTAATGGCCACTTTGACGGCGTTACGGCATTGCCGAAACTCTCGGTCAGTGTCATCACACGGGATGGTGTCTCTGTCGATCCGCGCTTGGTCTCGAGCCGCCATCGCGTCTGTCACAGCATCATCATCCATCCAGGGGCGGTGTCGATGCTTCATTTTGACGGTCTTCATCGGCATGTGCTGGTTAATCACCGGGTCCCACACGCGTAGAAAGCCGTTCCATTTGTCGGTTATGGAGTCGGCACGGTCGACCTCCGCCCAGTCCGCCAGCAGCAGGTCGAGGCAGAGGGCAGCAGTGTCGACATGGCGCGTGGACCGCACGGTGCATGTGACGGGCACATGTCGTGTCTTGGTGTTGGTGATCGAAGCAGTGATAAGGTCGTGGTCGCTAATGTTACAAGGTATGACCCGGGCATTGGAGGTCAGGTCCGGTCTGTTCGTTATAAGGTGGTCGAGAATAGACGGCGACTCTCCGGGATGGGTCGGCTCGGTTATCAGCTGATGCAGAGAGAGTTCGGCAAGCTGCTGAAGGTATGTTGTAACACCCGGCTTGTCGGGATGGGATACGTCGAAGTTGATGTCCCCCAGCACGTATGTCGGTCGACCTTGTGCCAGCACGTGCGTCAGCTGCTGCTGGAGATCATCGACAGCTGGAGCGTACGGGCCGGATGGGGGACGGTAGACGGTACCGACGATTATGGTAGATCGATCGGTGACCTGTACCCACGCCGCCTCGAGTGTGGAGCCGGCAGATGGCACACGCATCACGTCCAGCTTGAGCGTGTTGCGACAGATCAGTGCCACTCCGCCCCCCGTCCTGCCCTCTCTGTCGCGGCGCCTGATGGTGTACCCGGGAAACAGGAGCATGCTGGAGTCGACTGAGTCGGTGAGCCAGGTCTCGCTGAGGCACAGCACGTCCAGTTCCTCCCGCAGCAGGAGCAGATTCACCTCATCAAGGTGAGCAGTCAGTGAGCGCACGTTCAGGTGACCTATTTTAAGCGCACACGAAGGAGTCGCCACCATTCGGATTTCGGCCTGACGTGTCTGTCTGAGCGTAAGCCGCGGCGGCAGCACCAATTGACGTGGTTCATGGCGCCCCGCCTGAGAGAAACTACGTGCATCTCCGCTCAGAGCACGTGTCTCGACGTTCGCCGCCCGGCCCCACGCCCCGTGCTCGGCCCTCGCCAGGCAGCGGGAAGGGGCGAGGGAGAGCCACGATGTGTCGGTCGGGGAATCAGCTCGCCCACGGGGCACGCAGCGGACAACGCAGTGATGCGACATCCAGTCCCCGCGGTATCTCCGTCGCTGCAGCCGCCATCCTGCCCGGGTGCCGCGTCGTGTGGTCCGCCGATCCCGACAGGGCCGGGCCGGGCCGGCTCTCGGGCCGGCCGCCCCATCCCCCCACGGCCGGACTCCCGCGCCGCCGATCCAGGCCGGTCGCAGCTGCAGCGGTACCTCGTCCTGACCCGAGAGCAGGTCCGGTAGAATCCGGTGGAGCGAAATCCGCGGTGCTGATTGGTTGGCTGTGGCACTACACCTCTTCGGAAACCGGTAGAACGGGGATTCAAGCAGCGTGACCCCTCGCATCCAGCTCTGATCGGGCACAAGCGGATGAAAATAGCAGATTTAACAGTGGTCATAACGGTTTAAATGTCACAGTCCATGGTAAAAAATGTCACTCACTCGGTAGCCCAGTGCCAATCTCGGTCCCAGCACACTCACACGCGACGAGGAGCAGCGTGGCTATGCTAAAAACTGATTAAAAACGGAGCGTCACAACACGCGGCCGCCATAGTCAGGCGCCCTTATATTAGAAATATAAGGGCCCGCCACTCGGTGCATGTGTCACTATTTGTGGCGTTTTTTTTTTTTTTTTTACATGCATACCTATAGATTCGACGCTGTCTCTAACGTTGCTTACCACTTGTTGTTAGGTGGCCATACACCCGAGAAAAAGGATGGGGCTTAACCCGCGCCGTGCTGCGGGGGGTCGTGTTTAAAACGCTCTCAAACATCGGTTCATAGGTAGTCATGACACACTGAATTGGAAAAATGCACCTGTGAACCCTCTGTGTGCGCCTGAGGTCATCTCAGGTCATGAACGGTCACCAGCAGTTTTTGTGGCTATAACTTTTGATAAAGACGTGCTAGAGCGGTGAAAACACGCCAGATGTGCTCATCTCGACGTTACGGCTCGACTAATATGCAATATGACCATTTCCGGTTAGGTCATGACCTTTTCCTGAGGTCAAATTTTCAAAATGACCTTTCAGAGTCAACCCCCTTCAGGGTTTTCGCGAATAGCGCCGCCGTTTTTAGTAAACCTGTTCATACCCTATTTTCGCACATGTGATAAAAAATTCAGACCCGAATTATTCAAGGTCAGGTCACCAGGTCACATCAAGTGACCTTACCTCAGAACAAAAGTTCAAAGGCTCGCTATAGCTGACAGATTGATCTCTTTCAAAACTTGCAGTGATTGATATGAGTAACAGTATGCATAAAATGTACATATCGGATTTTTTATATCTGTGACCTAAGGCCAGGTTAATTTTGCGACCTCTCCATTATACGTCAATGGGAGAAAATTGAAATGCGCCTCTTTTGGACGAATGTCGTTCAAAACGCTCTCAAACATCGGTTCATAGGTAGTCATGACACACTGAATTGGAAAAAAAAAATGCATCTGTGAACCCTCTGTGTGCGCCTGAGGTCATCTCAGGTCATGAACGGTCACCAGCAGTTTTTGTGGCTATAACTTTTGATAAAGACGTGCTAGAGCGGTGAAAACACGCCAGATGTGTTCATCTCGACGTTACGGATCGACTGATACGCAATATGACCATTTCCGGTTAGGTCATGACCTTTTCCTGGGGTCAAATTTTCAAAATGACCTTTCAGAGTCAACACACAGTTCATTCGACGCGTTTTAACCCTCGCCCGCACATGGGGGGGGGGGGTGGGGTTGCCACCCCCCAGGCAGTCTTTCTGCTCTGCACTCAACATTTTTAGAGCTAGAGAGCTGATTTTTCGTATAGCTGCTTGTCTATCCTTTCTTGATGTCCACTGAAAATTTCAAGTTTCTGTGATTTTTGGTTTCGGAGATATGACCTTGTTTTTCAGGTCATGTCATGACCCAAATGGCCAATTCTCAACATCTTGCGTTTGCCATGAGCCTTGTGAGCTTTTGACACCCTGATTTCGGCCTTTTTTGCCAGTCTTACCTCCCACCTATCATGGAACATGTTGTTCGACGATGTACAGGGGTCAAGGTCAGGGTTAAGGTCAACCTAGGTCATCTAAGATAATTGCGTTTTAGGCAAGCTGAATTTTCTTTTTGTGAAGTTTTTTGACTGCATTTTTGGTAAAAGCTTCTCAGATCATGATTTCATGTGATATGGACCCAAAAACAATCGGTGCGCACATCAGTATACACACAGACACACACAGACATACAAACACATATAATTGACCTTGACCTAACTTGACCTGAAATGACCTCAGCAGCAAAATTCTGGTCGGATAGTGTGACAAAGAGGTTCTAGCTGGCTTGGCACCAGAAAACAGCATCGTCATCGGTATTTGATAAGCAGCGCACTTGATATCCAACGGTGACCCAAAACAGCAACATTTTTAGTTTGACCTGACCTGGAAGGTCAATGACTGACCTGAGAAGGTAAAACTGGGTATCATTGGATTCGTCTCTTCCCAAAGAATCTTTTTGGTCTTTACTGCTAAGCTATATCTCCAACAGGAACGAAATGGCGCGGGGGGGGGGGTGGCACCCCCCCCCCCCATGTGCGTTCTAGGATGGGAAAATGGCATGTGCGGGCGAGGGTTAACGAGAGGAATAGGATGCTGCCAAAAGTAAGGTCGTGGCTTTCTTGAGTCAAAGTTACTGGTGAAAAAATTCGTGGAAGCGACTATTTTTAGCGTTTTTGCCCTCTGGAGACTAAACCGGTTACCTAAGGTCAAATTTGAGAACAATAATCAGAAAGGTCTGTAAAAGGGCTATCGAATGCGCTTTTTCGAGGCGCTGTAACTCTTTTGATTCCCGAGTTAGCCGTTGGAAGTTTCCAAAGTTATTGAAATGGAATACATTTGACCTTTGATGAGCTCTGGTGACCTGACCTTTGACCTGACCTAAAAATGGCCGAAGTGTCTCCGTCATTATTTTGACTCTCTCTATCGATTGCCCCTTTCCGCGTGTCGCTACGTGGCCCAGGAGCCGAGTTAGAGGGGGGGGGGCGTGAAAATGCCCCCCCCCCCCCCCCCCCAGCACGACACGGAAAACTCAGACCACAAGCACGGCGCGAGTTAAAAGAACCCCCAGCATCGATGTATACATACTGCGATCATCTCACAACGACCTCATATCTCACACATATAACCAGCGAACTGTAGATAGAGGTCACTTGCCTTTTTCTCGTCCAGTTCCATTGCTGAGTTAGATTCCCCGTTCTGACCCATTGAATTAGCCGAGATCACACCGCTTAAGTATCAGGTGACCTTTTACAGCACCCCTCTCCGGGATCACATCCGAGGCCTGAGGGTACCCGAGCAGCTCTGTCCTCACGGGCTCCCGTACCGAAACTTTACGGCCTCGCACCTCAGCTGAGCAGATATGACGTCACTCACTGCCGGGCCTTCATTGGCAGATAGAGCCGAGGACTCATCAATGGGCGATATAGAGCACACGAAATATATCAGGCTTCAAGAATAATGATGTGGATAACACTACCGTGTGATGCTTGCACTTTGCTTTCATTCCGCCTTCCGAACTTTATTGATTTAGCTATCGGTTTACTTTGTTCCCATCCTTTGCAATGTCTGCATTCGTGCACCTATTTCCCTGGTAGCTATACAGACAAAATATTTCCTATAACTAGAACTCAATTAAGGTCAAGAGATTTTGTATTTGTTTATCCCGCACGACCGTTAGATTGGTCGTTCGAGAGGCCATTGTCAATGGTCATGGGATCTACATGGGATCTGTAGCGTTATTGATGATATTGGTATTGTTCAGAATTCAGATAAATATTTACAATGCCAATGCTTGAGTTAGGAAAGTCGTTGGCTTACAGCGTTTGAAGCCGCTATCGCCCTTCAAAATTACATACCGATATTAATGTGTTCATCCAAGAAACGTGTCAGTGTTCCAGACAAATCGCATCCGCTACAGCATATGATAGGCATTCGAGACAGTTCGGTATTACATGGGTGCACTGTTTGATGCTAGCACACGTGTTCATATTTTGTGCATGGACATTTGACTTTTCTAAATGACAGCTATTGTGCGATTGCATAAAAGTGTATCCATAAAATCAATCCATTTATTGATCATTGCTCCGGAACACTGGTCATCAATCATTTTCAACAGACCTAATAAAAACATCGCCACTTTGAAAAAGCAGATTTCCTTGAATGCTCATACTGGCCAACCATTACGCAAGGAATCAGTCATCAGACTTCATAGTCGCCTTCATTGATTTCATGCACCTAACATGAAGCAGCAATAACACTGTCAAGTATTAAATAGGTAGAAAGCAAGTATATACACTGAGGCAGGCATGTACAATGCAACTTACACAGTTCAGACACACACTCATCATCTCTCGCACTTCTGACTGAAGGAGGTATCTCATCTCGCACCCGTTTGTAACATCGGACAGACTGTGTAGTACGCGCATAAACCCATTTCAGTCGCAGTAATAGCATAACAATCATTTCCATATATGGAATACCGCAAAAGTGCAGCACGTTGCCACACATTACATCTGCACAACTTACTCCCTTGTATATGTCAGGGAGGTATAAATTAGGTACATGGTACTCCTTCTCACCAATTCGAATAAAAAATGCCCGAGATCTCCCATCGTTGGTCTAGCACATCGTGGCTCGGCAGCTCTTGTATCTGTGCATTAAAAAAGAAAAGCGTACGATATTCGGCGGAATTAGGTACACGAAACCTGAATCCGACACTGGTATAAGGTATTACGATAAATAAGTACCTTCAGACACAAACAAACCACACTTTGGCTTTTAGCTCTAACTCGCAGACATTACAGTCATGGAAAACAAGCGGAATCATGAACAAGTACCGCTTGTTCACCGAATCGCATAGAGATCATCGTGTCGCTGAGAAGCAAGAACAAAAAATACTTCAGAAGCTGTAGCTGAACTCCCAGCAGCCGGCAGGTTGTCCAAGCATGGGTTCTTGATAATCTCAAAGTTGACGTCTGACTCCACGTTGTCTACATGTGAGTGGTGACTTCGAGGCTGCTGGTGTTGTCGATGCCAGCCTCGGCAGCGGCCGTCTTCTCCCGGTTGGCGATGTTTCGCGAGTGTTCGAACCAGCCGTCCGTGGGCCGGATGCAGTTCAGCAGGCGCTGCAGCAGACGTGGGTAGTGTCAGACAAAGACTAAGGATTTAGGGAGCTCCAGCTGGCACCTCAGGCTGACGTGTTACTTCCTACCTGAGCTTCACAGTGTTAGCGAGAAATTCAAAATATCCAGATATTTATGTAGAAAGTTTGCAGGATGTAAAATAATAAATTGCATAGCGCCCCTAAGATTTTTGCAACTATCAGCTCATTCCATTAAGGAAACAATCCATTTTAAAGAACATAAAGAACCAGAACAAGTGAGGAACAAAAGCTACACATGAAATGCATAAACATCAAATCAGTGCAGCAGCATCCAAAAAGTCTCCAAACAATCACCACTCTGCTCCTCACCTCCTTGATGCCGCCATCCTCCTCCCAGACGATGTTGTAGACGAATCCGACTGGCACCGTGGCGATGATGACCATGGCGATGGCCCAGCCGATGCCGTTCGCCCAGCCGGGGTACGTGTAGTCATCCACCTTGTACGGCTCGTAGTTGATCCAGCTCAGCAGAAGTATCGACTGAAACAAGAGAGCGCATGAGGTCAGCGGCGTCTGATGGTTACTTGTTGGTCCATACCATCCACGGACTACATCCATGTTATGTCAGTCAAACTTCAATCAACATCCAGCACCTTTCTGGTTGCTGTTTGCTGCTCTTCTTACCCCGACCAGGAGAGGAGACACGGTGCCGTAGATGGCGGTGATGTGCGCCTTCAGTCGGAAGCCGGGGCTGAAGCCCATGATGTTGGTGAGGTCGCGGTAGTAGTTTCTGACGCCGTACATCCAGTACATAGCCAGGAGCTCCACCAAACCGATGAAGAGGTAAGGCCAGCCAGCGGCGTAGTTATCCAGCAGATCGACTATGTAGCGGCCACCCTGAAACAATTGGACAGCACCGGTGAGGTTATTTACGCCAGACAAATCAACAGAAGACAAACATCGTATGGTTTACGCATAAGGCAGCAAATTGCCGTAAGATCTAATGCCGTAAGCCGTAAGTTCGAAATATTCATTTACTTGTTCGCTTATTTGAAAGAGAGCATGATAACATCGAAGCAGAGAGTTACTTTGAGGCCTTACGCACCTGAGTTGTGAGCGGGATGCCGAGCAGGAATAGTGTCGAGCAGATTCCTACGACCACCCAGGACTTCCACTGGCGCAGCTTCGGGAACTCGTCCAGGATGCAGGTGATGATGTTCTCCACGATGGCGAACTGGGAGTCGAGTCCGAGGGTGAAGAGCATCAGGAAGAAGAGAAGCGCCCAGAGAGTGGAGACGGGGAGACGAGTCACCAGCTCCGGGTAGGCCACGAACGCCAGACCTGTTAAGAAAAAGCAGTTCAACATAAGACCTCTGGTCCCGAGATATTTCCGAAACGTTACGTGCGTCAACATGGTGGGCGTGACACACTGATGAAATAGTTCCATTCGCATTGAAGCAAATGTTTCAACTTCCCTTCCTTCCATGCGGAACTTACCTGATCCACTCTTGACGACTTCAGAGACGGGCACTCCGAGCTCCGATGCCATGAATCCCAGGACGGAGAAGATGGCGAAGCCAGCGAACACGGACGTGAAGCAGTTGCCGAAACACACAATGAACGTGTCCCTGTGAATAAACAATAATTTGGCGATCAACAACCTTGCCAAACTACAAAAAATGTATTGCTTTCAATTTGATCTTAAAAAATGAAGCAAATGAAGGACAGGAGCATTGGTAATAAAGCAACAATATCTTTCGCCAGTCCAGCAGTAAGCAGATACCTTTACGTGAAACGTTAAAAAGATACCAATCTCATCTATGTAAATAACATGGTTCATTATAATTTTTAAGAAATACGTGAAATGCTATCAGCGCCGGCAACTTCACAGAAAACTTACCTGATGACATTGTTATGGAACTTGTTGTAGCTGGCAAGAGTGATCAGTCCTCCGCTGGCAATACTGAGCGAGTAGAAGATCTGAACGGCAGCCTGCACCCAGACATCGATGTCGCTGAGTCTGTTGAGATCCGGCACCATGTAGAACTTGATGCCCTCGGAGGCGCCGGGCAGCGTTACGCCGCGAATCAGCAGGATGATGAGAACCAGGTACGGGAAAAGCGCAGTGAAGTAGACCACCTGTTGGAAAATGGTATAGAATACATAGTCAGAGAAAGGACATGCAAGCATCATGAATAGCCGCGCCCCACAACATGTGAAGTATCTGTGTCCTCGAGTTGTATTGCAGCAGCATCCGATCGTCAGACCTTTCAGATAGCATACGTTGCAACAGGCCAGATGAATTTCAATGTCTGCAACCGAATAGGTCCGCTAGCTTACTACATGCTAGCATAAGGGCAAGGCCCAGTTTCCCAGCGTACCTTTCCGGAGGACTTGACGCCCTTGATGAGCGCGGCGCCGACCACCACCCAGGCGATGAGCAGCGAGACCACCAGGCCGGTCTGGACGCCTCCGAGGTCGCCGATGCCGTCACTCAGGCCCAGAACGTGCAGGTTGAAGTACTCCTCAGCGGCTGCAGCGGCAGAGCGAGTCGTTAGACATGCGAGCGGGACATTGCCACCTTGTCGTGGGAGATCTTATAACTTCGCTTATTTGTGTGAAATGTGATGTATCAAGAATCTCTGCAACCTCTTTAAGAGCCTCAACCTTTGGCAACATCTGACCACCATGTCTTCCCATATCCTTTCTAAACTGACCCTGAAGAAGAATAGTTAGAAGAAGAGCTGTCCACGTTGATACTTACGGGAGACTCTGTCCTCCTTGGGCACGGTACTGTTGACGCCCAGGATGTCGGCCTCTGTGCGGTTGGTGATACAGTGACCGTAGTTGTAGATCCACCACGTTGACTCGTTGTAAGTCATGTTACACTGCTGGTACTCGTTGTAGTTGAAACAGTCTGCGAGCAAAGGAAATAACATTGATTTTGAGCCCATTTTTACTTCGGCAGGACAATGGTATACAAATGGAATATGTTGACGGTCGTAAAGATCGTTCATTAACTCCAAAATGCTAAAAAACAAGTTTAAAACACTGGAAATGGAATGTAAACTGGGGAGTGCTACAGCGGCAATGGAGTATCAGTGCAGAGCCCGAGTTTTTTCTTTAATAAGAAGAGTTGGGGGTATACTCACTGGGCGTGTTGTAGTCGTGGTTGCAGTACTGCCAGGGCAGGTCGGTCGTCATGCTGGAGTACGTGTAGTACACCGTCCACGCGATGATCATGTTGTAGTAAAGGCCGACGGCCACCGAGGCGAGGAACATCGCGACGCCAAGACCTGTTTGGAAAAGTAAGGAAGTAACGTCAATTAACCCTCGCACGACCAGGCCATTTCTCATAACACGAACGACCAGGGGGGGGGTTGTTACGACCCCCCCCCTGGCGTTTCGAAACGGAAGGTCGTAGAGCTTAGCGGAAAAAACCAACGGATTGCTCTCAACGAGATCTCGCGATTGGTGGTATATTTTTTGGTCCTAGGTCAACATTTGACCTACTTTTGACCGGTCAAAGGTCAAATTTTCGGAAAAATAGACTTTTTTCAACTTTCGGCGGCGATTGCGGCAAAACGGTGGGAGATATCGACTTGAAACCTTCGCTATCGTGTTCCTTGATCAATTCTCTATCGTTTGGTATGTATTTCGTTTCCCTAGCTCTAAAAATGGCGCGTTGGGAGCGCCGGAAGTCGGCAAGGTCACAGTCGGCGGCAGAAATTCGAAAAATCAAAATTTAAATTTTTGAAATCTGATTGTATTTTTGGATTTGGGAGGTCCATTTGCTCCCTATAGAAGCTAATATTGCTGCATATTCCCATTGAGGTGACAAGAATTAGCAAAATAGTGGTTCGGGCGCTTTTCAAAAATAGTACCGGACGCTGTTCCTCTTGTGACGTCATAGCTCCGTGACCTGACCTGACCCGGTCAAATTTCTTATGCCATATGATAGCCAATACTTGCCCCAACATGCATGGGAAGTTTCATCACGATCCATCAACCGATGTCCGTACCACCGGCAGGAAACCTCGGGCGTTGGCACTCAGTTTGTGAAAATCCGGCCGGAGGCTGTACCTCTTATGACGTCATAACTCCGTGACCTGACATGACCCGATCAATTTTTTTTCGGCAAAAGATGCGCAAAGGTTGCCCCAGAGGGTATTGAAAATTTCAGCCCGCTACGACAAGCCGTTTAGCGTGCACTTCGAAAAAACCTCAGGGGGGGGGGTTGATACAACCCCCCCCCTAGGCGTTCTAGGGTTAACTTTTTGAGAAAACATGCGTTGATTTTGTTACTCTTATTTTTGAAAGAAAGCATGGAAATAATATAGACGAAAACATTTTAACATCGCGTCATCCATGACTAGTGGGCTCTTACCTCTGAGCGCCGGAGCGTAGTTTTTGAAGAGACTGATGGGCGCCAGGGCGCTGTACTGTCCAACGGTTAGCTCCAGGAGGAACAGCGGGATGCCCAGGCCGAACAGCATGATCACGTAGGGAATCAGGAAGGCGCCTCCGCCGTTTTTGTAGCACAGGTACGGAAACCGCCACACGTTTCCGAGGCCTGCAACAGCGGGTCGATGCGATTAGGCAATGTACAAGACAAACAACGTCGTGCAAGTATGCACATAGTTCGAGGGCGCTCGACATATTGATTGCAGTCATATGCTAACATTCCAGCCACCTGCTCCCTGTAGTGTTACGTTCTCTGCCGCTTTCTTTCCGCCGAAATGCATTTCTGCTATTTGTGTCCAAGTAAATCGAATGAGTAAAAAGATGCTTCGAATGTAAACATAGTTTGGTACTGCCCTCATCCGTCCTGGCAACTCACCGACGGCATATCCGAGACAGGAGAGGAGGAAGTCGAGCTTGCCGGTCCAGTTGCCTCGCTCAGGGTTCTCGTCTCCTTCGAACAGGTTGTCGGCAGACTGGGCCTCTGGCGCCACTCGTTGGTCGGCCATCTGGGGAGCGGCGCAGGGGTCACTGGGGGCCAGCCCACACTGACGGGAACTGACAACACTGCACGCCGTGCCACCGTTCGGCGCAGCGCGGAAGAGTAGCCCAGGTAACAGCGCAGGCTGTGCCATAATACAGCACACTGTACAGTGAGGACCGTCCTGCAATGGGCGCGGCCCCCGCACCGCATAGTTCAACATCGGTCACTGCATGTAGGACATACGGGTCGTTATACACCGTGCAAACAGTGCTTTATGTATGGGCAATGTCCATTGTATCGGCAGCAATGCCTTCCGCCTGCGACGTTGACATTTCAAAGACACATTCTTGAGCTACTAGACTTTCGTGTGCGGGATTCATTATTGCTGTCGTGAGGTACTCTCTGCACAATTGCGTCAGGCTACATATACTGATTTTCAGCTTGGTTGTGTTAGCAACATCGCTAGTGCGCACTAGCAAAAGTCAATGTATGTATGTTACACAAAGACACGCTCAAAGCTCATCGCATTCTCACTTAAGTGACGCTTAAATTACTTGGCGGGATTTACATACCTACTAGTTCACGGTGCATGATTCCATTATTCCGTAAAGCGATTCCTTGATAGTATCATATCATCATAACTCTAGCTCATATATGAATTCCATAATTCCATAAGGCATAAGGGATCCGCGTCTCTAAATAACAGTGAATAGCTACCAAACCCGGATCTACATCTGTCTACAGAACGTCATTTCCGCACACCGTGGACTGGGGGTGTTCCGCAGTGACGCAGCAGACAGCGGCTTCCGCCACCACTTCCATCCGCCGAGCGGCGCCTTCAGTAGCGCCGCGCTTACGTCACCCGCCGTCCTGACCGTCGGGTGCGAACCTACCGAGACGATATCTTGTTTACCCACGTGTAGGGAACACATGACCTCGGAGAAACAATGACCAAGTGCCGGATCGTGCGAACAGCGCTAACGCAACGCTGGGGAATCACGATTGTTGGAGGGATTGCAGGAAGTGAGCTGATTGTAGAGGAGACGGTACGCAGCAGGACGGATTTCACTGGCAACTTGATAAATGATTGCAGGTATGGTGACGCAATACATTGAGGTCGTGTATATTATGATACATGGTTTATAATATTTCCGCTAGCCAAGGTATTTAAGAACACTTTCCCTAACTTGTGTGTGTGTGTGATAAACAGACAATAGTCGTTTTCACGACGGGTTTTCTGGCGAATGCACCAAAATTGACCAAATCTGCACCAAACCTAGCTTTTACAACAAATATCCTCATATGATGAAATTATTCCGGTGTTTTAAAACAAATGTCTGATAATTTGAAAATCATGTATGGGTATAAGCAACCGCGCAGCCCAAGCTGATAACTACTAAGAAACACAATGAACCTAATTTGTCCAAATTTGCACCAAATATGCACCGATTCTGCACCAAATGTGTACCAACTGTAGGTATACAAGATAGCCGTCGTGAAAACGCCAAAAAGACTTCGTCGCCGGGGGCGTCTTTAAACTCAAACCATCAACAAGCCGCGTCGTCAGAACGGCTATTGGAATTAGGAACAGCAAACGGATATTACAAAATGAATGAATAAGGAAAAATATAACTCTTCTACTTAATAAAACATTCCTGAGATGGAATGACAGGTAAGTACCGTTGCGCATTAGCATGACCAAAAACTTACGAGCTGTCGCTTTTATATTTGCTTTATGTACTTTACGATCGAGATAATGTTTTAGGTAGGTATATCGCAATATTAGATATCGATTATTCCTAGCCTCTAGCAATATTTATAGGCATGTCTTATATCTGAGATACCACGAAGAATCACACCTCCAAGAAATGAGAACTTCCATGTGATAAATCGCACGTTTGCCTGTTGCCTTATGGCTTATGGGCAAGCGATGATGGATTGGTTGGAATAAGATCACTGGAAAATGATAAAATGTAATGAATAAAAATGTGTTTGGTATATTGGATATCGCATAATGTTACAGCATAAAATGTTTCTTTTTCCTAATTAATTAATGCACACTTTCTCCATTATATTAATTAACAACCCGATGTATTATAATGGTCCGTTCAACCGACAGCGCATTTGTTTGATAAAGCGATTGAAATGGCGTACAGGCAATAAAAACAAGAACAAATACGGAATCCAATCGATCATGAAATGGCTTTTGATTTGATTTTTAGTTTATTTGGGACTTGTGTATGCCTCCGCAGGAATTTTCTGCAAAATACAAAAAAGCGATCGTTTTTTCGGCTTTACGCGCACATCATTTGCTACGCCTGCTAATAACAGGTGTTTGTCTGTAATTATAGCGTATACTGAGATCGCCAAACGTTTTTTATATGTAGAAGCAGGGGCTGGGCGCGGCTGCATAGAGCTACCTTTGTAGGATCTTGGCTTTCTGCAATGTGTTTGGCGTTTATTGATCAAAATAAATGAGTACCTATAAGTTTTATTTTCCCCAATGAGAGTGTTCTCTGGAGCAGCGCCTACCTCATTGCCGATGTCCTCTTTGGCCATATTTTGTCAGAAGAGCTGATCGGTCCGTATCGTCCAGTAGATCCCAATTCCTCAGCCTCTCTGCAAAACGTTCCACTGCAGGGTCCGCTCACTGATCGATTCCAGTCCCACACTAAGTGTGAACACTTTCCTGTTCACCAATTATACACTCGACGGCCGCGCTGCACGTAATGACGTCATCGAACGGCGGGCGGTGATTGGTCGAGCGAGCCGTAGTGCAGCGAGCACGGCTAGGGGAATACCAGTTCGTGCGGCCTTTCCGTCCGTGATCAGTCAGTTACACGGTATCTGGTCTTGGAATGATAACAGGGTCTGGTGGTAGGACACGACGTAACAACTCTGAGTGACCAAGGTTGGGCTATTCTGGGCAAGTGAGTCAGGACTGATAAACATGGGCGTAAGAACCCCACGAAAAGTTGGAGGGCCAGAGAAACCTAAATGTCTGTATGTGGGAGCCCCAATAACCTTATGAAGAAATTCTTTAAAGTTTCTGCAATTACTTGTGGCTCAAACCGTTCATACTTCATAGCATTTGAATCACCGGTATCATGTGTCTCTCTCGTCGAAACTCGTCGAACGAGCTAAAGCTTGACCTTAAAAGGTCATTTTGTAAATCTAATAAATGGTCAAGGTCATAATCTTACCGGAAAAGGTCATGTTGATTGTTGCATATCAGTCGATTGGTATCTTTCAGCTGAATATATCCAAAGTATTTTATCGACCTATGTATCCATAAAGTTATTTAAAAAAAAAACTGAAACCCTTTCTTGACCTGAAGTGGCCTCAGAGACCTTGGAGGGATAATGGGTGCAACTGCAATGTTCCGTTTCAATACCGTAAGGTGGGGCTATTTGAGACATTGGGGCTATTTGAGACAGTATTTAAAATTGTTATAAAATAAAAACCATTTGAAATTTATGCTTAATTTTTGCTCAGGCGATTTACTGCTCGATTCCACACCTCCCTGAGCAAAAATATCACGAAAAAATCAAACCATCTTTATTTTATAGCGATCTTAAATGCTGTCTCAAATAGCCCCACTGTCTCAAATAGCCCCACTTTACGGTACGCAATATTATCCTGTTAAACCATATTTGAGAGTGTAAAGAATGGCCTTTGTCCTAAAACGTAGTAATTTAATTTTCTCCTATCGACCGATAAGGGAGAGGTCACAAAATTGGCCTGAACTTGTGTTATTGATATCGAAAATCGGAGACCGAGATCAACGTTTTGTACATCCCGTCATTTTTATTAATCGCTGGAAGTTTTAGCGTTATCAATTATTCAGTGTAGGTGTGACGAGCATGCAAACTTCTTTTTAGGCTAGGTCACGTAAGCATTTTCTTTTAACTTCTCACTACATGACCTGGATGTGACCTGGTGAACTGACCTTGAACGACTTGGGTCTGAAATTTCGATAAAATGTGCAGAAAAAGCATCAAAGGGTGTATCGGTATTTATATATCTGTGAAAATGGGCAGGGGGTGTTAAATCCCCCTACCCGACAAGGGTGGGGGGATTTAACACACACCATCTTTTTCCACCTCTTATATTAACTGTTCTCCGATATTCCGTCCCGTCACTTTTTCGATTCCCACCAAGTGGTGCTCACTGCAAAGAGCTCAGTGACCAGTACGTAGACGCTGCGAGGCCCGGTGACTGGCCGTGCTTTCCACCGCCAGCCGTGATTCACCCGCGTGCGTGCCGTCATGTCAGCACGGCCCGTCCGGGAAGCACGTCTCACACCCTGCTGAAGATGCTGACGTTCCGAGAGCCGGCCTCAGGCACTGCCCCTCCCCCCTCCCTGCCCCGCACGCCGCCCCCTTCCGGCCGCCGCGCCGACCGCGGTCTGTGGCCGTGACGTCACAGCCAAGGTTGCTCGTACCGCTGCGCCGTGGCTGTTCGAGGTTTGCCTGACGACTGCACCCTCCCCTTCCGCCCCCATCCCCGCTCCGCCTCCTCCCGCCGCGCCGCCTTGACTCTACTGGGACTGAACCAATTTTTTTTTTTTAATTTTCTAACTACACCGCCACCCATTAATAGGTGACCAGGAGTGCCCCCTCCCTCAGCCCAGCGACTCACAGAACCTTACTTTACCACCAGAGAAAACATAAAAATGGCAAAGTCGCGGCACTCCCTGCTAAGAAACGGAAAACAACTCAAAATAAGCAACCAGTCGGTAAGAGGAAGTATGGTTAGTTAGAAGAAAAAAAAACGGCAAAAGATGTCCCCGCTGAAAGCAGCGGGAGACTAAATCACTACTTCCAATACCATGTTTTATGGTGTAAAAGAACACTCATTCAGGGTTAGTAAAGGGACACATACATACACACAAAGCACAGGTTCTGGTCAGTATTCTGCAAAAGGTCATGTGTGACCGGATGAACCCTTCCAGCTAAGCAGAGCTTGTTGCTGGTCGGGGTCACCGGTCACAACGCCGTAAGGGTGGGTTCGGTGTAAGCCACAGTCACTATGGCTGACAGGCTACGCTATACGAGTAGGTGTTTGGAGGAGTTGAATAAAAAACTACAACGTGATACAACGCATGCATATTATTCTATTTGAAAGTACCTTATTTATTTGCACATTTTACTATTGATTATTGAACTTATGTAAACAAAAGCTACACAGGGTGTTCTAGGAAATACTCCTTACTTATTTTCTTTACTTGCAATTTAGACATGTTGATAATGCATTGAGCGTTAAATTGAGTTGCCATAATTTTATTCCAGATGCGAGGCCCAAGCCATGTTACATTACGAGTGCAGTATAATCTTTTTATAAATGGTTCAATGAACTGTTGACGATTTCTGGTCCTTGAATCGCTAGGGTCACTAAGGGTAAATAACCCACCAACAGATGATGGGAGAGAAAAAGAAAGTTTTCTGTGCATTAAGATAATAGCCTGCTGTTTTGCTATATTATGAACTTTGAGAAGCTTAAGGCTTTTGAAAATTTCCTCTGTGTGTGCTAAACGATGTTGATGAGTAATAATACGAATGGCTCGCTTCTGAAGCAACTCAATTTTGTTTAAGTAAGAAGGAAATGTGAATCCCCACACCACACAACAATAATTGATATATGGTAAGACCAGTGAATTGTACAAAAGAGTTAGCAAATGAGTATCAAGGAAAAATTTTGCTCTGCTCATTACCCCAATGTTACGACTGATAACTGTTGTTAAGTGGTCAATATGGAGATTCCATTTAAGGTTCGGATCTATAATCATTCCTAAGTACTTGACTGATTGAACAGCCTCAATAGGATCACCATTTAATGTTACATTAAGTTCTGCTGGATTGAGTGTATTATTGTAGATTTGATACACTGTTTTCTTTGTGTTGAGGCTAAGTTTATTTGCTTGCAACCACGTGCATATAATGGGCAATTCAACGTCAATCATATTTTGAAGCTGGAACGCTGTTCCACCTTCAAAAATGAAGACTGTATCATCTGCATACAGTAAACATTGTGCTGTTTTACAAATATTTGGAAGGTCATTTACATAAAGTAAGAAAAGCAAAGGACCAAGAATGGAGCCCTGGGGTACACCAATGTTTACATTTTCTATTGAAGATCTTGCACTGTTATATTCTACGCATTGTTTTCTATTAGTAAGGTAAGATTCAATCAGGCTAAGTGCTTGCTCAACAATGCCATATTTGCTACATTTTCTTATTAGTATGTCATGATCTACAGTATCAAATGCTTTTTTTAAATCGATGTACAGAGCTATGGCAATGTTGCCTTTTTCAAATACTTTCATTATTGTATCCTGCAGGAGAAGTATGGGCATATATGTTGAAAGTGACTTTTGAAAGCCAAATTGGCTAGCAGACAATATATTATGTTGCAGGAGATATTCCATGAGTCTTTTGTGAATTATCTTTTCAACAAACCAATCAAATGGTCACCCGCTGGTGACGTCAGAGGTTCTGCCGATTGCTGTGTTATGCGTGGTAAAATGGTCCGCTTATCAGTGTCAACTGTCACGCACTGATTTTATTGGACAGTGACCAATGACCGTGTGACCAATCGATACCAATGACCAACCATAAGGTGTCACAGCTGTATTTGCATTTTGCACTCATCAATGACTTGCACCGCCGCGTTGCTGTGATTGCATGTTTTTCGAGTTGCAAAGTGACATGAGTCAGACCAGAAGCCGGCCTCATGGGCAGTGGGCTGTTATGAAAATATGTCCCTATACCTACTTATATGGATGTGTGGCTCTGCATTTCAATTACTCATTCAGCATCAGACCGACTCTCCATCGCAGAGCCCTCGCTCACCACAGCCCCAGAGACAGCGTTTACACACAGAGGTGTTATTATTTAGGATAGGGAAAGACACTCCCAACATTCACAAACCTTTGGGCCCAACCAGCGCGCCATCAGCGCAGCTGGTGAGCTCACTACAGTACTTACATCCCGCCTTGGGTACACGCTGGTCAGTGTTCAGACACTGAGTCCCCAACTCCGACTCTGAGTCCGACACTGTGTGCCGACACTGAGAGTGTGAGTCTGAGAGTGAGCCGGTGCGTGTGTCTCTCCTCTTCCTCTCCCCGCTGCGGTTTTTATACCCGTCGCCTGACCCGAGTCTGTCACTGTCAGGCGACCGTGACGCCCGATTCTGCACACACTGACCCCGTCGTGTCGTTCAAAGGTGTCACAACAGTCACCTCACTGGGTCAGCGCGATCGGAGCCGACCGCTCTCCCCTCGCGCCCGTCTCTCAAACGTCGCCAACTAATCCGAAAACCCGGTCAACAATATTGAGCAGAAAGTATATGTATCGATGGCAAATATCGTCTGGCGAACAGAAATTACCTATTGCTAAAGTGGGATATTGGCAAAACATAATATGCACACTGTTAACGTCAGATCCCGCCAGCCGTGCGTTCTTGCTTCGGAGTTTTTGTTCTCTCTCCGGGTGGTGGTTACGGCTGCTGTTGTTGCTTCTCCCCTCAGGGAGCCGGCCTGTAGCCATATGAGGGGCTCCTTGTGGCGGAGGTAGCCGGTGGTCGAGGCCGCCACCAGCTCGGGTTGAATTGGTATCGGCTCGCTACAGGGCGATGTGAGGCGGGCCAGGTCGCGCGGTTTTGTGTCGGCATGTGGCGCTGTCT